ACTCTTTCCTCATTTTGATTAATTGAAAGTAATTATATTACTTCAAAAATTCAAAGAATGTTATTAAGGCTGCCAGTTCCAGCTCTTAAAAGGTATGAAATACCGGAATTAAAATTTCCACCTTACTGTACCCAGACCTAGTGTATGCATTACCACACCATCTTTAATTACATAGTCACCTACTTTTTCCATAGCAGAGTGGAAAATATGATGTGCTTGCCTCGGCTCCCCCATCTTTCTATGTGCTGTTTACAAAGGCCGGGAAATAAGCTAAACTTTTGTCTTGGTCCAAAAGTGAGGGTGACTGTGGAGTATTTGTGTGCTTCCTATAACGCTGAAGGCCCTCCTCAACTGACTGGTCATTGGACGTGATCCCAGGCAAAACTTTTGCTCACTTAGCTATCACTTAAATGCTGGTACGTTGTAAAACGCTGCGTTGCCTCCTAGTAACCTCTGGCTGGCGAGGGCACTGCCGTGAGTGCTCCAAGTCCAGGGGATGGGGTCAGGCCTTGCCGTACGCAGCAGCGGTGTCTGGGCTAGCCTCCAGGCTCGCCCGGGAAGCTGTGTCACGGCAGACACCGAAGTCAAACCCGCGAGAGCTCTCCTCCGACACGGCACAGGACAAACTGTGCTCTGGGAACAAATGAATGAAAGCTGCGTAGTGAGCAAAGCTGTTTTGTGTAGCACATCTTTTTTGCTGCAGAACGTGGGATCTCATAATGAAAAAAAGGACTGCAGGCTTAAATGTTGGTTTGGAAAACTGTCACAGCTCTACTGCTTCCACACTTCGGAGTAGTGACTTGAAACAGTGCTATGTTTTTACCCGGATGTCAGTGATATGATTTTTGCTGCCCTGGGAAAATTTATCTGCCTCTGGCTGAGTTACAAGCCCCAAAAACATAAATATAAACATATCCTCTGTTGTGTATGGAAACTCTTCTTACCAGGCAACAACTGTAATGCTTGTATTTCAGAAATTCCAAGCATATGGGGATTTCCTTTGGATCTGGATCAGCTGAGGCTCTAGTGGTGAATTCCTGTGCCTACTTGATAATGAGTCACAAATGTCTTGGTGCTGGCTTTGTACAGAACCAAAAATAAGTTAATGGGTCACTGAGTGCATCTACAAACTAGTTGCAGGGGAAAAAAAGCCTGCCTGTTTCTAATACAGCGTTTCTCATGAATTCTGTTCTTTTGCATCATTCAAAGAATTATAATAACTGGGATGTAAAGAGTAAATACAGAAAAAGCCTCAGTCAGTGTTCCTTGGAAGAATATATAAAAAGTCTTGACAGTTGGCACGCACAGTGGCCAGTTTCATTAAAGCCTTTTCTTCCTAGTGTCTCCAGCTTCCCAGCTTTACAAACAGTTTCCGCTGTTGAATGGCAAGTTCCCATTCCACTGTTCTGCCCTTTGTTTAGAAAAAGAAATGGAAAATGCTTGGTTTTGTGACTAGAAGATGCTGTATGAATAGGGAGTTGCATGTAAAGATGCATTGAATCATCCTGACATGAGCTGAATAAACAGCAAGTAAAGTGGATAGTTCAGTATGCATCTGGCTTCCAACTTGGCCTTTTTTCAGATCAGATATTTGTGTATTTTTGCCTGTCATCACTTATGACCAGTTATCTCTATTCACCTGCTGGATGTACCTTTCTTTTAATGAGTACCTTTAAAGATATATCAAGATAGCAAAATAGGGTGATTACTTCCCACTGTTTCATGTGAGAGAAGATAGAAGATAATTTACGAGGGTGAATTAGAATTTCCTTCTCATGTGTAAGTGAAGTTTAATGTAAAAAAAAAAAAGTGCGTTAGAGGAGCAGTGTCTGTAGCTTTTATTATGGTAATAGCATAGGTCAAACAAAGCCGTAGCTTTCTAGAAATATCTGGATTTGAGTTTGATCTTAATTTCCAGGCCCTTCTGAAGTAGTGCCCTGCAGCAGCGCTTGAGGCTCTTCTTCAGGGATACTTCAGTATCTGTAAATCTGGAAAGTAAGAAACTGTTTTTAGAAATTTCTGAATAGCGAAGTTTGGCCTTGGAGCTGATGCTGGCACCGAAGATCATTCCCTCCTCCCTCTTAAGACAACCTATGTGGCTGCATCTCTGCCCTGAAGGCACCTGCCTTTCCCCAGGACCACCTCAACCCCTTTTTAGCTGAGCGGCTGTGACCGAGCCGCGCGCCGGACAGGTCCGGTTGCTGCGAGGACAGCTCTGCAGTAACCGTATGGCTCATCTGCCCTCGCACGCAGGCCAGCAGGTTTCACGGTGTGGCAGAGGAGCAGTCAGAACTGCTCTTGTCTTTGTCCCCAGCTTTTTTTTTCCCTAGGAAATTTCTACTAAAGGCTGTGCCCCGGCAGCTGACGCCTAGCGTGGTTCACCAGGAGGCTGCGCTGCGCTGTGCTGCGCTGCTGGCCTCGCCGGCACATCCAGACGCTGTAGCATTAGCAAGGAGCGCTGATGGACACAGAGAAGTCTCTAGTCTTTGAAAGTCATGAAAATGGTTAAAACAACAAGCGTGGTGCTGCACTGAAACTTTCATAAGGTTTATTCTAGTGTTCTTGCATTTTATTTTGGGAAAAATTGCAGGAGAACCAACTTTTATAAAATGGATGATTTTTTTAATGGTTTTATGTAATTGGGATATCTTCACTCGTAGGTTCTTCAGTTTGATCATAGCTTTTTCCTAGAGCATTCTCACTGTTATACTTCATGCTGAGAAGTTTTTTCCATTTTGATTTCTCACTGGGCTTTCTATAAAATACGATTAATTAAAGATCCAACCACCAAAGTATTTGAAAGCAATGTTTTAAAGTGCAAACAGTGTGAGTTCTTTGGGTCTCATTTGGTTGCTTTCATGATGCTGCTACAACCAACTTGCTTTAGGAATGATGGGCCTCCCACAAACTCAGGTGCTCTACTTTTTTAATTTGGGGTTCAGATTAGGTTTTTCATATTACTGGCTGCTCTCTGTTGTAATAGAAAACCCCAGTACTCTCTAGTGCAAGTAAGAACAAAATCATGGGGCCAGTGCCTGATAGGAAATTGCTTGTCCTGTAATTTTTAAATTATACGTTGTCTCAAAGAGAAAAGAAGAAAGGTTGTAGCTGGAGCATCTCTTGGCCTAGAGGAAGGACACCTACCTTTATAAATGCAAAGACCTATGTCTTTATTAGACCTGTGGAGGGGGGGAAAGATTGTATCATTTGCCTTTACAAATTAAGTGGGAGAGGTGCGATCGTCTTCAAATCCTTGCTCTGCAAAAAGGGACGAGCAAGGGATGAAGACAGTGTTTCCCCACCATAGACATATTTTGTTCCAGAAAGTAGATGATAAAAAGGAAAATAAACCCAGTAGAAGGAGGGACCTTCTTTTATTGTCTGAGCCCTAGTTAGATTATGTTTTTGTTACAGTTTAGAAGGCAGTAGCAGAGAGGGAGGGTTTGGGCAGAAACTGAAATAAAATGTTGAGTTGTTTTGAGGTTAAAGTTGGTTAGAAGTAATAAAAAATTAAATATTCTGAATATGATGACAATATTCTTAAGACAAGTGTGCTTATAAAAGTAAGCTAATGGGACTGACTGCTTTTAAAGCAGGTCATGGTGAGAGCAGAAGCTGGCATTGTTTCTATAGTATTATCAGTTTCCATGCTTACAGGACACAATAGTAAAGCGGGAATCTGGGAACCTGTAAATCTTTCAGTGGTTCTTAGTTGAAGTAGAATAGCTAATGTAAAAAATATCTTTCTCACTTTGCAATAACTCTCACTGGGAACACAGGAATGAAGGGGGAAAGAAGCAAGCCAATGAAAGTTTGCTCTGGCTCAAATAAGACCGTATTTGATGCCAAAAAGTATCTTTGCAGCAGCACACTAGCTCGAATCAACTAAAGCCTCTGACTCTTAGAATATGTATTCCAAAACGTGCATGTTCTTGTTTATCATAGTGACATATTTAAACTATAAACTTTGATAAAAAAAACAAAAAACCAAACAAACAACCAAAACCTCCCCAAACTCCTCTCTCTCTTATAGAGGAAGGTACCAACTACAAAAGAAGTGAGGGTGCATTCCATCCTAGATGTACAGGAGGGTAAACAGTCTTTTAAGAGATTGGGAAAAAATTGTCTCTTTAGTAAAGAGCATCTGCAGTAAAGGTGAGAGAGGATTTAGATACAGGGGAAGAAAAAGAATATCCAACAAATTAGGATGTGTTATTTTCTTTAAATCTAGTTTTCAATGAAGGAAAAGATCTTCCGAACTTAAGGGAAAGGCTTTCTGCTTAACATTTTTAAAGGGTAACAGATCCAATCCCGTATAGTATCTTAAAAAGAGACACGG